TTTTTTGAGACAGGGTCTTGCTCTGCCACCCAGGCTGGAGTGCAGTAGCATGATCTCCACTCACTGCAACCTCCACCCCCCAAGTACAAGTGATTCTCATGCCTCAGCCTCCCAAGTAGCTGGGATTACAGGTGCCTGCCTCCACACCTGGCTAATTTTTGTATTTTTAGTAGAGACAGGGTTTCTCCATATCAGCCAGGCTGGTCTTGAACTCCTGACCTCAGGTGATCCGCCTGCTTCAGCCTCCCAAAGTGCTGAGATTACGGGCGTGAGCCACTGCGCCCAGCCCTTTTTCTTGGTTGGTTTTTTCGTTTTTGGTTTTTTTTTTTGTTTTTGAGATGACGTTTTGTTCTTGTTGCCCAGGCTGGAATACAATGGTACAATCTGGACTCACTGCAACCTCTGCCTCCTGGGTTCAAGCGATTCTCCTGCCTTGGCCTCCCGAGGATTACAGGCATGTGCCGCCACGTCTGGCTAATTTTGGATTTTTAGTAGTGACGGGGTTTCTCCATGTTGGTCAGGCTGGTCTCGAACTCCTGACCTCAGGTGATCTACCCGTCTTGGCCTCCCAAAGTGCTGGGATTACAGGCGTAAGCTACCGTGCCAGGACCTTTTTCTTGTTTTTTTAAAGCTGAAAACAAGATCCTGATGTTTGTGGTCTGGGGAGACGACACCATGTCCCTGAGGCCAGCCCTCACCTGGGCTGTGTGAAGAAGGCATGGATCTGCTGTGCCACTGCTTGTCCGACCACCTGCTCCAGTTCCGGAATGGAAGCATTACTCAGTTTCTGGATGCTTGGAAACTTCTGGAGCAGAAGGGGAGCTTTAACTTTTCCAACTCCTGGGATCTGCTGCACAGTTCGAAGAAGGGATGGCTCAGACAGCAGCAGGGCCCGTTTCTTCCCTAGAAGAGGGTTCTTACTGGGCTCTTTGATTTGCTCTTGAACCTGAACCGCAAATGAAAGGAACAGCATGTGAGCACCCTCTGGAGAACTGGCCATTTTCTTAAAATTTGTTTTGTGGAAATTTAGTTTTTCCATTTTGTTCGGCTTGACTTCTGGGAACAAATGTTTTCATATGCCATGAATATGATTTCTCAGACATCAGTGAAATTATTAAAAGGTGAACCACACAAAGGAGTAAGACATTAATAATTTACAAACATGTGAGTTTTCAGAACGTTTAGAAAAACACATTGAGGAATTCCAACACTTTCTGATGGTCCATTAAGAAACATTTCAGTTGTGCAGGATTAAAGGATGACTACACCTAAACCAGACCTACTTCATGCAAGCCCTGCAGGAAGCCTGCCTCAAAGGAGAAACCTGGTCTGCGGTCACCGGTGGCTATACAAAGGCAGACAATAGCATCGTATCAAGGAAAGTTAGGAACCGTGACGCAAAGGATATGGTAGAGAGGGATCTGTGAGCCGTTTGTGGCTGCTTGCATCTGCAATGTGCCTCTCAACTCCAGCTCCACATCAGAGGGGGAGATTTAAACACACACACAATTGATGTTTGGGTCTTACCCCCATGCTGGGATTAGCAGTGTGAGCCTCTAAACTGATTTTAAAAATAAATGTTGGCTGGGTGTGGTGGCCCAGCACTTTGGGAGGCTGAGGTGGGCGGATCACGTGAGCAAGCCTAGCCAACATGGTGAAACCCCATCTCTACTAAAAATATAAAAATTATCTGGGCGTGGTGGCAGGAACCTGTAATCCCAGCTACTCGGGAGGCTGAGGCAGGAGAATCGCTTGAACCTGGCAGGCAGAGGTTGCAGTGAGCCAAGATTGCGCCGCTGCACTCCAATGGGTGTGCAGATTGGGCAACAGAGCAAGACCTTGTCTGAAAAAAAGAAAAAACTTGTACAAGGTGCTAATGCTTAACAAAAACACATGGGGATGAGATAAAGCAGCTTCTGGTTGACCTTTTCGAGATGGAGTTTCACTCATCACCCAGGCTGGAGTGCAATGGTGCAATCTCCGCTTACTGCAACCTCTGTCTCCTGGGTTCACGTGATTCTCCTGTCTCAGCCTCCTGAGTAGCTGGGATTGTAGACACCTGCCACCATGCCCAGCTAATTTTTGTATTTTCTTTATTTTTTTGAGATGGAGTCTCGCCCTGTTGCCCAGGCTGGAGTGCGATGGCATGATCTCAGCTCACTGCAACCTCCGCCACCTGGGTTCAAGTGATTCTCCTGTCTCAGCCTTCTGAGCAGCTGGGATTACAGGCGCCCGCCACCATGCCCGGCTAATTTTTGTATTTTTAGTAGAGACAGGGTTTCACCATGCTGGCCAGGCTGGTCTCGAACTCCTGACCTCAGGTGATCTGCCCTCCTCAGCCCCCTAAAGTGCTGGGATTACAGGCGTGAGACACTGCACCCGGCAATTTTTGTATTTTTAGTAGAGACGGGGTTTTGCCACGTTGGCCAGGCTGGTCTCAAACATCTGGCCTCAAGTGATCTGCCCACCTTGGCCTCCCAAAGTGCTGGGATGACAAACGTGAACCACCGTGCCCAGCCTCTAGTTGACATTTTCACCAGCAAAAGGGCAGGATAATGAGTGATGGGGCTATCACAGCCTGGGAGTCTAAAATCAGGTCTCCAACTTGTGCACTTTGTGATATACTTCCCTAGAGTGTGGGTGGCAAAGAGGTTTTATAAACCAAGGCAGAGAATGACATAGACTGGATACATGGTTGCAGCTAGAGGGAGGGCAGCTGAGTGTGCATGAGGACAGGGCTACCCTGAAGGTGTAGGAATCGCTACTCACCAACTGGATGATGAGGCCGGATGCTTCCATCTGGCTGGCCACTGGAAGCAGCACCATTCCAAGGTCCAGCACAGTAAACTTCTGTAAGGCTGGGAAGTATTGTTCACTCATCCGGGTTTTTTCAACAACTACAATTCCTTGAATATTACTGGACTTGAAAGGAAAAAAAGACAGTAAATCATTTTGCAACCAAATTACTTTTTAGGTTAAGAGTGCTATCACTTCCTACCTGGCCTGGCCAATGACTTTAAATAAATGATACCAAGGGATGGAGGGAAGCGGGGTGGTGAAACAAATCAATGTTCAATTTCAGTTTCTTGAATCCAATAGTAACATTTCTTTTTTTGTTTGTTTTTGGTTTTTGGTTTTTTTTGAGATGGACTCTCACTCTGTCGCCCTGGCTGGAGTGCAGCGGCGGGATCTCGGCTCACTACAGCCTCTGCCTCCTAGGCTCAAGCGATTCTCCTGTCTCAGCCTCCTCAGTAGCTGGGTTTACAGGTGTGCACAACCATACCCAGCTAATTTCTGTATTTTCAGTAGAGACAGTGTTTCACCATGTTGGCCAGGCTGGTCTCAAACTTCTGACCTCAGGTGATCCACCTGCCTTAGCCTCCCAAAGTACTGGGATTACAAGCGTTAGCCACAGCGCCGAGCCTAATACTTACATTTCTAACCCGAACAAGCCTCTTTCTGTAGCCATTTCCTGCCACCAAATCAGCTTCAGTGACATAAAGAACGCAGCATCTCTTCGACAGATAAAAGTCTGGTGTTAAGCCATCCTCGAAAATGAGCTTAATTTTCCCTTAAAATACAGAGAAGAAAATGAGTTCCGTGAGCTTTGGATGAAAAGATGGCAATCAGCAAATATATATATTTTTTAATGTGTCAGAGGAGGCAAGAGCTGGCAGAGGGCAGCCCACTGACCTTGCATATCCTGCACCAGCTGTGACCCGCGCCATTTCTCATTCGCCACAACATGCCCCAAAGGCACATGCACGGGGCCCGTGCCATCAGAGGGGTTCCTTTCCATGGGCAGTCTCTACCTAAGGAGGGAAAAGCCAGGTGGCACTTGAGCAGGCCCTCCCGCACACGGCCCTGCATTCAACTCCAAGCCGGGGCCTCTGGGGCAGGATCCCGCCTGCAGACTGAATTGTCAAAGAATGGTCAAATAAGATTCTCTTTTTAATTACTAATAAGAAAACACAAAGGTCTCAATGAAGGACAGGGTGGCTGGAGAGGGGGTGTGTGATGGTGGAGGTGGTAATGCCATTGGGTTCTAATAAGGGCAGAGGCACGATCAGAATCCTGAGCTGAGCATGGTAGCTCACGTCTGTAATCCCAACACTGGGCGAGGCTGAGGCGGGAGGATCGCTTGAGTCCAGGAGTTCGAGACCAGCTTGGGCAACACCGCGAAATCCCGTTTGCCAATTATCTGCAGCGAAATAAATTTTCTAAGAACCAGGAGATTCTTGTTCTGGTGTCCGCTTCCTTCATTTTCATCACGTGCCTAGACCCGACACCCCAGCTGGATCCGCACCGTGGCTCCTTAGTCTAGTCCTGGGCCCGGACCGAGGCGGTAGGGACCCCACCGTCCAAGTCTTGGGTCCACATTACCAGCTGCAGCGCCACTTCCGGGTTCACGCCTTCGGTGCTCGCCCAGTCCTTCATCCAGCCCGCCCTCCGCCAACCGCAGCGCTGGATAGGCTGTGGTGTCAGAAATGAACGCCTATCCTGACCAATAAGAGAACGAATAGGGCGAACGTTTCCGCTCCGTCGGGGATTTGAACGGGAACCCGCTGGTTGCCAAGAACGACCGGTGTGGCAGTAACCTTACCTCTGATTGGTCACGGGCCGAGCTGAGCCAATGGCCGACGTGGTTGCTGCAAAGTCCATTGCAAAGAAAAAGCGTGCTGTGGGTCGGGCCTGCGGCGGGCTTTTAGGGAGTGGTCCCTGGCGGTAGAGAGATCTGCTGATGAGTCCAGCCTCTGGTCTGGCCTCGTCGCGCTGCAAGGATGCTCCTGGGGTTTCGGAGAGGCCGCAGGAATCAGTTCGTAAGTAGATGTTCGCCCGCCGCGCTCGGGGCTCTATGGGGCCGCGGGTTAAGTATAAAGGGTTGGGGCGGGTTTAGGGTTTGGCCTGAGATCCAGACAAGGTGGCGGCACAAGAGGAAAATGGTTTTCAGTTTAAGAAGCCTTGATTTTTCGTGTTCTAAACTTTTTTTTTGTTTTTTTTAAAACAGGGTCTCGCTCTGTCGCCCAGGCTGGAATACAGTGGCGCAGTCATAGCTTACTGCAGCCTCGAACTCCTGGGCTCAAGCGATTTTCCCACCTCAGCCTCCCGAGTAGCTTGGACTACAAGCGCGCGCCACCACGCCCGCCTAATTGTTCAATTTTTTTGTGGAGACGGGGATCTTGCTATGTTGCCCAACGTGGCTCCTCAGCCTCCAAAAGCGTTGCTATCACAGGCGTGAGCTACTACGTCTGCCCTTAACAATATCGTGCCCCAGAGTCGGCCACAGTTGAACGGAGTCACTCTGTCTCCCCTGTAGCATTCGTCCCAGTGCCTGGAGTTAACTCCTGGCCGACGTACATCTGTTACATGGCTGGATATAGTCATTCTTCATTCCTCTCTCCGCCACCCACCATGTACACCCCATCAGCAAGTCCCATCCCATCTACCCACGACATATATCTGCCAGGTGTTCCCATCTCCCCCCACATCCCGGCCTCCAGCATCTACCTGGACCGCTGCGGCAGATTCCACTGGTTTCTCTGCTTTCACTCTGGCCCTTTAACGAGGTTCATCCTCCACATAGCAGCCAAAGGGATTCTTGTATTTATTTATTATTTAATTTATTTTTAGAGACAGGGTCTTGTCCTGATGCCCAGGCTGGAGTGCAGTGGCAAGATTATAGCTCAATGGGGCTTCAACCTCCTGGGCTCAGGTGATCCTCCTGCCTCAGCCTCCCCAGTAATTGGGACTACAGGTGTGCACCACCATGCTTAGATATTTTTTATTTATTTTGTTATTTGCCGCACATTGCCAAGTCTCAATGCCTGGCTAATTTTTTAAATTCTTCTGTAGAGGCCAGGCAAGGTGGCTCACGCCTGTAATCCAACACTTTGGGAGACTGAGGTGGACAGATCATTTGAGGTCAGGAGTTCAAGATAAGCCTGGCCAACACGGTGAAACCCCATCCTACTAAAAATACAAAAATTAGCAAGTGTGGTTGTGGGTACCTGTAATCCCAGCTACTCAGGAGACTGAGGTGGGAGAATTACTTAAACCTGAGAGGCAGAGGTCGTAGTGAGCTGAGACTGTGTCACTGCACTCCAGCCTGGGTAACAAAGTAAGACTCTGTTTCAAAAAAACATAAAAATAATTAGTGTGTGTGTGTGTGTGTGTGTGTGTGTGTGTGTTGGTAGAAATGGGGTCTCGCTATGCTGCCCAGGCTGGTCTTAAACCTTGGCTCAATCAATCCTCTCATTGGGATTACAGTGTGAGCCACTGCACCTGGCCTGAGTTTTCATTCAAAGCAGCAAATATTAATGAGTGCCTGCTGTGTGCTGATACCCGAAATTGATTAACAGCTTATGGCCACATGGTCTGGAGGCTAGACAAGCCCATAAATAATTCTGTACCAAATGATAAAACAAGAACTGCCGTTGACGTGTGTACCAGAAGGGCAGCGACGCCAACAGTTGAGTGGAGAGTTGGCCTGGGCCTGGCGGAAAGGAAGGGAAGAGTTCTGGGTACAGAAGACAGCAAATACCAAGGCCTGAAAAAGAGCGAATTACTTGCTGTTTGGGAAATGGAAGGCGAGGCTGAGTACTGAAGTACACGGATTCTGCCCAGGAAGAGCCGGGGAAGCAGGAAATGAATTTGAGTCCTTGTGATGGCAGGGGCTGCACACTCCATGGAGGCAGTGGAAGTCCCGCCCCTTGCGAACTGTGGCAGACTCAAGCCTCCTTTTCTAGGGAGCAGGCAGGAGCCCCACCCTCCTGGCGGGGGCTACAGCCACCCGAACTGCAGTTGTGGATCCCAGCCTCCCATGCTCTTGGAGGAGCTGGGAACAGGCAGAATCTGTCCTCCCAGGTGCAGGTGTAGCTGCACCTGTGGGGCCTGAAGCTGCAGGCAAGAACCAGGAACAGGTGGGAGCCCTGCCCCTTCCAAGTTGGTGGGTGGGAGCTCCCAGGTGCAGCTGCGGCTGCCCTCCCAGGCACAGGGCGGGTCGTCTCTGCAGCCTGCCTGTTGGGCATCCCAGGAAGGACAGTCCCTCCACCCCCCATCCCCGCAGGCTCAGGAGGGTCTGCTCCCACTGCCTGGCCTCTGCTCTGATCTTGGAGGGGGATTGGAGCCAAGCCCTGGGGCCATGAATGGCAGGGAGGAAGGGGGCAGGGTCCCCAGCAAGGCCCCACCCTCAGGCTAGGGAGGGCCTAAAGGCTGGGGACTGGACTGCCAGTCCCCTGGAGTAGAAACTCATGGAGCCTCTTCTGGGCCTGCCAGTGGCTGCCTGTGGACCAGTCAGCATGTTCTTCCTCTCCTTTGAGGTCCATAAAAACCCTGGGCTCAGCCAGAGCAGGGCAAAGGATGGCCAAAGGACAAAGAGGGCAGACAGATGAGGGGACGGGATGACCAGCTGCAGAGAGGAGAACCTTCTCTGCTGAGAGCTGTAGGGACCACCTGCCAGCAGAGAGGAGCTACCCTCTCTGCTGAGAGCTTTAGAGACCTGCAGAGACACTGGAATGGCTTTTGCCTGTGGAGAGCAGCCACCCTCTCCACGGCCTCCTCTCTGCTGAGGTCGACACTTGAACTCGTGAGACGATCTGCCTACAGAGGGGAGCTACCCCCTCCTCTGAGCTGGTCTCAGGCTAAATAAAACTCTTCTTCACGCTTCTGAGGTCTGCGTACCTCATTCATTCTTCCTGGACACAGGACAAGAACTTGGGCAAAGGCACTGTGGCCACAGAGGTTCCAGCCAGAAAAATTGACACCTCAGAGATCCTGTAACACTTGGTAGGAACCAAGTTATATCAGCCCGAGTATGCCATGCTGGACACGTGCCTGCTGTTGAGAGAGTGGGGCTGCCTCTGAGGGTTTTTCTGCCTGGTAGAGACATGATCGGCAAGGGGACCAGAGTTAGGAAATGACTGTGATGGTATGAGACGTGTTTAGTGTGCAATGGGGGATTCACTCTTTCAAAGAACAAGAATAAATCTTAGCCCTTTTGGAGGACCCCACTGGACGCCAGCCCCTGGGATTCAAAGGTTAATGAAACCTTTTCTGGCCAGGCATGGCGATTCTCACCTGTAATCCCAGCACTTTGGGAGGCCGAGGCATGTGGGTTGCCTGAGGCAGGAGTTCAAGACCACTCTGGCCAACATAGTGAAACCCTGTCTCTACCAAAATAGAAAATTTAGCTAGGCATGGTGGCATATGCCTGTAGTCCTAGGTACTTGGGAGGCTGAGGCACAAGAATAGCTTGAACCCAGGAGGTGGAGGTTGCAGTGAGCCAAGATCATGCCACCGCACTCCAGCCTGGGGAACAGACAAGACTGTCTCCAAAACAAGCAAACAAACAAAAACCCTTTCTTATCGTGCAGCAGGTGGTAGTGGGGGGAGTGGGGAGGAAACAGACATGGAGACTGTTGAATCCCTTGACAGATGCAGGGTGGTGGGCCCCACTCAGAGAGGTAAACAGAGTGGGGGTATTGGGTAGAGACTGCTTGGAGCATCTGCACCTGTGGGTGACTGTGCAATTAGGGGGTAGGGACTGTAAGAGATGACCGGAAGGTCTGCCCATCCCTCACTCCTGAAAGATGCTCCCATGCTGTGCCACACTTCCCAGCCTTGTGTCTCTTGCCAACCACTCCCTAACTTTCCTGGGGCCACTGTCAGTGAGTGCTCCTCACTAGGCCCTGGGATCTCCTCCGTCTGCTCTGAAAGCCCTTCCCGTGGGAATTATCCCCACCTCTCCACGCCCCCCCCCCGCCCCACACACACACACTTGCAGATGCCTCTGTACTCCAGCAAAACAGAGAACCAACCATAAGAGCACTGCAACCAATGTCTTGCTCCATTCCTTTGTTCATGCTGTTCCCGCTTCCTAGAATGCTGTTCCATAACGTTTCCAAATGTGGGACCAGTGGGCATCTTTGAAAGCCCAGTCTAAATGCCTGTGTGCTTTTCTCGAAGGAAAGCATTTGACAGTTCCCAGGCTGGCCGCAGACCTGGAGGAGTGCTTCCCTGCCTGCGCCACCCCAGCACCTTGTGCCAATTACTGGCTCCAAACAGAAAATGTTAGTGTTTTTCTCCCACATCTCACTGATGTTCTTTTTATTTTTTTCATTTTTAGTGAGAGAGCCTTTCTCCCAGCTCATTCCATAATTCTATGTTCTGTAATAACTATTTGGTGTTTTTCCTCTCTACTCACCACCTCGGGGATGAGGACAAGGTGTCTTCATTGCTGTCATGGTGTTCTGCCTCTAGTAGGTGGGAATGAATGGTTCCTGCCAAGAAAATGATTGGACTAGACCCAGAAACTTCCCAGAGACTCCCAGTTACCTAAAGTGGGGTTCTCTGACTTTGATTGTGTGTAGGAGCTAGTTTTCATTACTCATCTTGGAGATAAGCCACCTAAAATTTTATATTAAGTCCCTTTGAGGTGTGAGGCAATGTGCTCTAGGATTGATAAAGATAAGAGAGTTGGCCAGGTGCGGTGCCTCATGCCTGTGATCCCAACACTTTGGGAGGCTGAGGTGGGAGGATCACTTGAAGCCAGGAGTGTGAGACCAGCCTGGGCAACATAGCGAGATCCCATCTCTACAAAAAAATACAAAAATTAGCTAGGCATAGTGGTGAACACCCGTAGTCCCATCTACTTGCACAGCTGAGGCGGAAGGATTTCTTGAGCCCGGAGTTTGAGGCTGCGGTGAGCTGTGATTGTACCACTGCACTCCACTCTGGGCAACAGAGCAAGACCCCGTCTCAAAAACAAAACAAAGCAAAAAAAGATAAGGAAGTCACCTGTTTCTCAGGATGTCACCCTGCTCTGTGGGGGGAGTCACATGAGACATCACTGGGGGCAGTGCTGTGGGACATGTGGGAGAGCTAGAGGGTGACTCTTGGGGACAGCCAGGGAAGCTCTGAGGAGGGAAGGACAAGAAGGTTCCACAGTGAGCAGCTGTCATGGTGCTCCCTGGCTGTGCGTACTTGTCTGGCCTGTTGGAGACGGGATGGCAGGGAGGAGTGGGCTTCTCATGGGTTTGGATCCATGGGTGGCCAATGCAGGTGTTCCCTTGCAGGCCCAGGGGAGGGAGTTGGTGACAAGACTCAGGTGATCCAGTGACTTCTGTTGGATTTCATTTGTGCAGAAACACATCATCCATGGCCTTTTACCTGCAGCCAGCATTGCTCCGAAGGCAGCTGTGCCCCGCACACCTCCTCCCCGCAGCCCCAACCCGTCCCCCGAGAGACCAAGGTGAGTCTCACATGAGCAGGCACCGAGGTCACCCCTGTGCTCGGCCCCCAAGTCCTAGATCCTGGAACTGCTCAAAATGCCCAGAAAATTACAGGTAGGGTGGTTAGAGTCACGTCCTTCCAAACGTTTACCACGATTCCATAATGATGCACTGATGATGGTGTCTCTGAGGATAATGGACTGACTTGAGGTCTGTCCCTTTCGGGTGCATGAAGTTCTCACATTTCATGATTGAATGTGATCAGTATTTTTAAAAATATAAAGCATTAATGCCCAAGTATTAGGTTAACAGGGAATTTTGAATTATACACATAATTTTCTTTTTTTTTTTTTTTCCCGAGATGGAGTCTTGCTCTGTCACCCAGGTTGGAGTGCAGTGGTGTGATCTCGGCTCACTGCAACCTCCACCTCCTGGATTTAAGTGATTCTCCTGCCTCAGCCTCCCAATTAGCTCAGATTACAGGTGCCTGACACCATGCCCAGCTAATTTTTGTATTTTTTGTAGAGATGAGGTTTCACCATGTTGGCCAGGCTGGTCTCGAACTCTTGACCTCAAGTGATCCACCCGCCTCAGTCTCCCAAAGTGCTGGGATTACAGGTGTGAGACAACGTACCTGGACAATTTTCCTTTTTTTTTAATTTTGTTTTTCAAGGCGGGATCTTGCTCTGTTGGCCTGGCTGGAGTGCAATGGTGCAATCATGGCTCACTGCAACCCCTGCCTCCCAGGCTCAATCAGTCCTCCTATTTCAGCCTCCTGGGTAGCTGGGACTACAGGCAGGCACCACCATGCCCAGCTAATTTTTGTATTTTTTGTAGAGTTAGGGTTTTGCCATGTTGCCCAAGCTGGACTTCTGGGCTCAAACAATCCATATGCCTCTGCCTCCCAAAATGCTGCGATTACAGACGTGAGCCGCCGGGCCTGGCCAAAACAAAAGATTTTTTTTGAGACAGGGTCTCATTTTGTTGCCCAGGCTGGAGTGCATTGTTGCAAATGTGACTCACTGCAGCCTCAACTCCTTAGCATCAAGCAATCCTCCTGTCTCAGCCTCCTGAGTAGCTGGGACTACAGGCACACCACCATGCCTGGCTAATTTTTTAAATTTTTTGCAGTGATGGGGGTCTCACTATGTTGCCTAAGTTGTTCTTGAATTCTTGGGCTAACCTGATCCTGGGAGACTGAGGCCAGAGGATTGCATGTGCCCAGTACAAGATCAGCCTGGGCAACATAACAAAAGCTTATTTATACAAAAAAAGAAAGTAAATGTACTGAGCATGGTGGCACATGCCTGCAATCCCAGATACTGAGGAGGCTAAGGCGGGAGAATCACTTGAACCCAAGAGATCAAGGCTGCAGTGAGCAATGATTATGTCACTGCACTGCAGCCTGAGCAACAGTGAGGCCCTCCCTGCCTCTAAAATAAAAATTTTTTTTTTTTTTTTTGAGATGGAGTCTTGCTTTGTCACCAGACTAGAGTACAGTGGCAAGATCTTGGCTCATTGCAACCTCTGCCTCCTGTGTTCAAGCGATTCTCCTGCCTCAGCCTCCCAAGTAGCTGGGATTACAGGCAGAAGCCGCCACACCCAGCTAATTTTTGTGTTTTTAGTAGAGACAAAGTTTCACCATGTTGGCCAGCATGGTCCCAAACTCTTGACCTCGTGATCTGCCTGCCTCGACCTCCCAAAATGCTGGGATTACAAGCATGAGCCACTGTGCCCGGCCCTAGAAAATTTGTTTTAAAAAGATAATAGGGTAGCTCCTGAAAAAGAAAAAAAGATAATAAATGTCCCTATCGTTATGACAAGAGTCTTCATGCTTCTTTGTAATTCATTCCCCAGTCCCTCTCTGCCACCTTCCATGCTCCTGCCCATCCCCAAGCAACCACTCATCTCCTTTCTCGCACTATGGATTGGTTTGTAGTTTCTAGAATTTTATGTAAGTGGAATTACATAAAATTCGCTGCCTTCTTTCACTCAGCATGATTATTCCGATTCACGCATGTTCTGAAAATCAATAATCCATCCTTTTCCTTACTGAGGAATATTTCATCATGAAAATGCTGCAGTTTGTTTATCCATTCACCTGTTGATGGATATTTGGTTTGTCTGTAATTTTGGTTACTAGAATAAGGCTGCTATGAACATTTACACAGTGGCTGCGTGTGGTGGCTCACACCTGTAATCCCAGCAATTTGGGAGGCAAATTGGATTTTAAGACCAGCCTTGCCAACACAGCAAAACCCCCTCTCCACTAACAATACAAAAATTAACTGGGTGTGGAGATGCATTCCTGGAGTCCCAGCTACTGGGGAGGCTGATTGACAAGAAGCACTTGAACTCAGAAGGCAGAGTTTGCAGTGAGCGCGCCACTGCATTCTAGCCTGGGCAACAAAGCGAGACTCCATCTCTTAAAAAAAAGTATACACAGGCCGGACGTGGTGGCTCACACCTGTCATCCCAGCACTTTGGGAGGCCGAGGTGGGTGGATCACCTGAGGTCAGGAGTTCAAGGCCAGCCTGGCCAAAATGGTGAAACCCCATCTCTATAAATAAATTTTTTAAAAAGTATACACAAATGTTTGGATATATACTTTCATTTCTCTTGGGTAGATATCTATAGCTGGGCCTTATACTAGGTGGGTATTTAATTTACTAAGAAACTGTCAAACTGTTTTCCAAGGTTGTTGTCCCGTTTATGTTCCCACCAACAGTATATGAGTCCAGTTGCTTCATATCCTCATCAACACTTGGTTTGGTCACTGTGTGTTTGTTCGTGTGCACACGTGTGAGTGCCTCTCTGTGTTTGTGTTTGTTCGTGTGCACACGTGTGAGTGCCTCTGTGTGTGTGTGTGTGTGTTCGTGTGCACACATGTGAGTGAGTGTGTGTGTGTGTGTGTGTGTGTGTGTGTGTGTGGTCTTTTATAACTTGGACAGTCAGTGGTTAGTTTTCATCCACACTGAGTGTAGATGTTTGAAAGTCGTGGCAGGTACATAGGTGAGCAGTGTATGGTGCTTGTTTGCTCAGTCTTCATCTTCATAATGCTTTCTGGACAGTGGTGCACAGATAGAGTGCGGGATATTCCTTGCTCCTTTGTCTGAGACAGCTTTGTGGAGCTCAGTGTCAATGCACACATCTGGAGATCCCAGCCCTTTCATGGGAAATTTCCAGATCTCTTTGTGTGTGCCAGGAATAGTGTCTAAAAGCACACTCCATAGATGTGCTCGTGAGGGCTGATAGGGTACTTTCTGGTCACAACCTTGTTGATGAGAGAACAATCCTTCCTGCTGCCCTCCTTTGTGGGAGCCATTCTGATAGGCCCGGTTTAGAACAGGAGAGCACGAGGGGTTATCTTGGTCGGTTTTTAAAATTTTGGATATTTAACGGGTGTGTGGTAGTATTTCAGTGTGGTTTTTTTATTTTTGTTTTTTTTCTTTTTCTTTTTTTGAGATGGAGTCTCTTATTTTTGAGACAGTCTCAGTCTATTTCCCACGCTGGAGTGCAGTGGAGCAATCTCAGCTCACTGCCACCTCTGCCTCCCAGATTCAAGTGCTTCTTGTGCTTCAGCCTCCTGAGTAGCTGGGATTACAGGCACATACCACCATACTCGGCTATTTTTTATATTTTTAGAGATGGGGTTTCGCCATGCTGGCCAGGATGGTCTCGAACTGCTGACCTTAAGTGATCCACCTGCCTCAGCCTTCCAAATTGCTGGGATTACAGGCGTGAGATATCACGCCTGGCCTTATTTTGCATTTCTCTAATAGCTAATGGTATTGAGTATCTTTTCATGTGTTTGTCAGCTTTGCAGTTTTTTTCAGTGAAGCATCTGTTCACATCCTTTGCCCATTTACAAATTTGCGCATTCCTTGTTGATCACAAGTCCTGTTGCAGATCTAAGAACCATCTTGGGAAGGCCGTTGGACACAGGAACATGTTCAGTTGGAGACAATGACATTTTTCATCCAGGAGATGTAAGCAGAGCCCTGGGTGAAGACTGGGGGCTTCCTGGGGACATCACAGTCCCAGCTTTTTTTGTTTTCCATGATTGCATTCTGCGGGTTCGTTATATAGTATGAATACAAGTCTTTTACCAAATATGCGATTTGCTAGTCTTTTCTCTGTATCTGTGGCTTGTCTTTTCATTCTCTTAAACAGTGGCTTTCAAACAGCAGAAGTTCTTAATTTTTATGAAGTCCAGCTTACAATTTTTTCTTTTATGGATCGTGCTTTCAGTATCTCATGTTGAAGAAATCTTTTTTTTTTTTTTTTTTTTCTTTTTTATAAAGACGAGGTTTCACCATGTTGGTCAGGCTGGTCTTGAACTCCTGACCTCAGATGATCCGTCCCCCTTGGCCTCCAAAGTGCCTGGATTACAGGTGTGAGCCACCACGCCCGGCCAGACATCTTTATGTAACCTACGGTCACAAAGGTTTTCTCTTATATTTTCTTCTAGAAGTGTTATGGTTGTAGGCTTTACATTTAGGTCTCTAATCTATTTACAGTTAATTATTGTAAATGGTATGTGTATTAGTCTGTTCTCACACTGCTGTAAAGATACTACCTGAGACAGGGTAATTTATAAGCAAAGGAGATTTAATTGACTCACAGTTCTGCATGGCTGGGGAGTCCTCAGGAAACTTACAATCATGGCAGAAGGGAAGCAGGCACGTCTTACACGGTGGCAGGTGAGAGAGAGCGAGCGTGTGAGAGCTGAGAAGAAACTACCATTTATAAAACCTCAGCTCTTGTGAGAGCTCACCCACTATCACAAGAACAGGATGGGAGAAACTGCCCCCATAATCCAATCACTTCCTTCCTCAACACTTGTGGATTACGATTCGAGATGAGATTTGGGTAGGGGCACAGAGCCAAACCATATCAGTGTGTGAGGTATAGATCCGTGGGGTTCTTTTGGCATATGGAGATTTGATTTTTCCAGCACCATTTGATGATGAGGCTATTAGTTATTTATTGCTGTGTAACAATTACACCAAAATGTAGTGATTTAAGACAAAACAGCAGCCAGGTGTGGTGGCTTATGCCTGTAAACCCAACACTTTTGGAGCCTGAGGCAGGAGGATTACTTGAGCCCAGGAGTCCCAGACCAGCCTGGAGAACATAGCGAGACCCCATCTCTACAAAAAATATAAAAATTAGCCAGATGTGGTGACGTGTGCCTATAGTCCCAGCTATTCGAGGGGCTGAGGTGGGAGGATCACTTGAGCCCAGGAGGTTGAGGCTATGCTGAGCTGTGACCGTGCCACTGCACTCCAGCCTGGGCAACAGAGTGAGATCATCTCAACCCCCACCCCCTCAAACCCAAAATATAAAAAACGGTGTTTTTTTAATCCCATATCTCATTGATCCTCTTAAAAACTTTTTTTTTTCCATCTCCATTTTATTTTGGTAATTTTCTGTTGTCTTTGCCTTTAATTTTACTGATCTTCTACAATATATAATCTGTTAATCGCATCCAGGATACTTTCTATCTCTGATGCTGTCATTTTTATCTCTTGAAGTTGGGATTTTTTACAATCTTCCATGTCTTACTTGGCTTTTTGAACGTAAGAAATACAGCTGTAATAACTATCTGAATGCGCTTTTCTGCCAATTCTACATATGTGTTCAGTTCTTAGTGGGTTTCAGTTGATGGTTGCCTTCATTTTAGATGATGGTTTGCTGTCTCTTTGCCTACCTGCTTATCTAAGTGGATACAAGATCTTGTGAATTTTACCTTGAGTGCTGGATAGCTTTGTATTCCTAAAAACGTCTTGACCTTTGTTCCGGGATGCAGTTCAATTGCTTGGAAACAGTTAGATCTTTCAGGTCTTTCTTTTACGATTTGTTTGGTGGGCATGGAGCGGTGCGCAGCCAGGTCTAATTATTCCCCAGCACCGGGGCCGGACCTTTCTGAGTGCTGCACCCAGCGTCTCATGAATGATAGGTTTCTCCAGTCTGCCCGGTGGGAGCAGCTGCTGTCCCGGGCTGTGTGTAAGCACCTGGCACTGCTCCTCTGATCCTGGTGGATGGTTCCTCCTCCACTGTCGGGTGATTTTCTCGCACCTGTGTGCTGTGCAGTATTCCACGGAAACTCGGTGACCTCCTCCAGATCTCCCGGTTCTCTCTGCAGTTCTCTCCTCTCCGGCACTCTTTCTCGCAGGTTTCTCTGCCTTGGTGTCCCTGACTCTCAGCTCCATCTCTACAACTCAGGGAGTCTTCCTGGCTCCCCCGTTCCTCCTCCCTGTGCTGTGACCTGGACATTTTCCTAGGCAGCGAGCTGGGACAGGGGCCTTTTGTTTTACTTTTTTAGGCAGAGCTATATCTGTTGACTCTAACCTACCTGTAAAGTATTCCTGAGTAATTTGCAAGCATTTTTAAAGTCCCTTTTAAATCTTTTATGTCTTTCTAGATCTCTTTTTTTTTCCCCCATTCTGATATTCCATTCTAATAAGAAAACTACTTGAATGTAGGCTTTTGGCTCTGCCTTGATAAGAAGCCCGGCTCTACCTCCTTTTGGCTAGGAAATCTTTACAAGTCATTTAATTTCTATGGAAAATGGGATGGCAATAATATGTAGTCATACCGTTGTGTGAGAATCGAATGAGATTGTCTGATGGCCCGCGGTAGACGATGGGTGCAGAGTAAGTGCTCAGTCGACACTGTCCAGCAGAAGGTAAGCCTGCGTGTACTTGTTCAGCCTTCACCTGGGGTGTTCATGTCTCACCGTCTCCGTGGGATATTTTTGTCCGCAGATCTGCTCTGGCAGCAGCCATTCTGGCGACAACATTGACTGGGCAGACGGTTGCCATTCCTCAGCCTCGCCAGAGATCCCGGTCTGAGAGTGACGTGAGCAGTGTTGAACAGGACAGCTTCATCGAGCCCTACGCCACCACCTCAGAGCTAAGGCCTCGGTGGGGACCAGATCGCCAGCTCTGCTTCCTCTCAGGGTGGAAGAGGGGCAGCTCAGCCTGGTCCCTATATGTGTGTGCATATATACATGTGTGTGCGTATATACCTGTGTGGGTGCATGGGTGCTCATACACGTATTTATGACTAGCCTTAGTTGCTGGGTTTTTATCACCAATAAAACCCACGTTGGACACTGTCCAACAACCTAATTGCTCTGGGGTCTGTTCTAACAAGAGTCAATCTTTTTTTTTTT